GTCTCCTCCTCAGCATGGCAATGAAGCGTCGAATTCTCTACCAGTCCTCATGGAGTTCCTGTAGATTCGGAACAGAAGGACCTCCATCTCGAATTTCGCGTCCAATATAGTCCCAAATATCTTCGATATCGGGGTTTTATGCTGGGCCGGGGTAATGATTTCATGACGTTCTGGGAGTTGTAATCCATGAATAGAGGACTACTGGTAAAGGAGAGGTTATCAAAATGTAGCACGACGGCGGTATCCAGTACTTCCTGTTCATAGCGTTGACAGCTGAGTGTCCCAGGTACTGTGAATCGTACGAAAGGCCACCCAACACTATCGCTTAGCCACCACCAAAAGTTGCAGCAGTAGGAATCATCTCCTGGTGATATGCCTCGTTACGACGTCTCCATACGAGATGACGTCTATTAACGTGTAGAAGATGGCGACTACGCTCAGACCAAGTACCAAAGGGACGTGTGAGTCGACAATGGTTCCTCAGACCGGCAGCCCGCGCCCTGGCAGATGGTGAAACCACAGGTCGATCTTACCCTCACTAAACTCAAAAAGTCTGAAACAAATCCCTTGGTGTTCCAGCAGGAATACATCCAGTTACGTTCCAAGTATGACACCCATAGATCCATTTTCAAAGACGGATCCAAGGATGAGGGCCAAGTTGCCAGTGCTACAGTCATTGGATCTAAGACTGTCTCCTCTAGGATTCCCGACAACAGTTCCATTTTCACTGCCGAGGCCAAAGCTATCTTTTCAGCTTTGACCTATATTAAACAGCAGAATCATTCCAAAAACTTCATCGTTTTCACAGATTCATTATCTTGCCTTCAAGCACTTCAAAATGTTACTTCAAGTCGCCCAATCATTCTGGACATTTTAGAACTTTACAACGACCTCTCTACTGGCCAATGTGACATCGTCCTCTGCTGGTTGCCGGGTCACGTCGGCATAGCAGGTAACACAAAAGCCGATGCTGCAGCTAAAGCAGCTCTTGACAAGCCCTTATCTCCACTGCTGATCCCGTACAGTGATTTCAAACCAATTATCAAAAGCTATACTCGGGACCTCGTGCAAAAACGATGGGACACTCAAGTAGGAAGAAATAAACTGTATGAATTGAAACCAACAATTGGGTTATACCTACTTGGGTTGTCAGTCAAGACCTGATGAGGTAATTTTACGACGATGTCGTATTGGCCACAGTCGGTTTACTCATGACTATCTGCTGAAAACGGATGGGGATGGACCCCCCATGTGTGTCTCTTGCGATGAGGTTTTCACCATCAAGCATATTCTGCTTCAATGCGTGGACTTATCGTCTGCAAGGAACTCACATTATGATGCAACAAACCTGAAAGATCTGTTCTCCCGCGTGAGCGCTCATCTGATAGTGAACTACCTGAGGGAAGTTGACCTGTATCATAAATTGTAACTGTGAAATGTGACTATCATAAATTGTAACTGTGAAATGTGACTAACTAATTGCCTGCCTTTAAATTTGGTGCTATGACTTTTTCTGCTTTTAAATGACGATGTAATGAATATATGTTTTTGAAATAAAACTCATTCCGAGTATGTATTTACAATGTTTATTAATGCAAACTTGTTCTCGTCACTATATGGCTGGAATAATGCCGATGTGACGCAAAACCCAACTCAACTCAACCCCAGCAGCCCGCGCCGCCTTCCGATGGCAGTGGTGGCAGTCGGACTTCCACTCTCCATTGACGGCGCCTCCCATGGGTTTTGACTGCGTCTTGCCAGACGAATTAGGACCCCGTGATGGGGGTCATTGGTCTTCCGGGTCTTAAACGAGCCTTTACTTCACAAGTGGCCACGTACTCTCAACCAGTCGACTAATGACCCTGTGGTTTTTGTTCAAGTTGGCACTGACGTTGCCACAGAACATCCTTGAGTTATGCATGCCAATAACTTGAAAACGTGTACTTTCTGAACTTCTTCGTCTTACTGTCGTCAATTCAGAACATTATAATTCACATGCAATTCACTGAAAATATGAAATTTCGAAGCACGTGAACATGCTGGGCATAGCTTCTGAGCTGCTGCGTGAAGTACGTGCTTTACCTGTTTGGGCTAAAATTTGAAACATCGCTCTCGGATTTAGCTGGTGCTTAATTAATGCTCATTTGATGAAAAGTGCAATATTCTTTAACACGATGCCCACCTCTCTGAATCTACACATAAGCCATATGTTCTTTGGCCGCTCCATGACAACAGTTCAGCCTTTGAAAATCTGTATATTTCATAATCAATATCCTTATATGGCATAGTTATGTAATCTTTTCAACCTAACACGTGTTACACACACCCACTCATACACACACACTGTGCAAAAATATCATTAATAAATCAAAACAAAATATTTTTAAAAACATATTATTTGCGTCATACTAAAATATTTGATTCAACAATTTACAAATCCTACATTATCTAGATTCTTAAAAATGGAACATACAAGAAAAAACGTCCAATTTCTTAAGTGAAAACATCACACGAAGTCACATGACTCTCATCCGAGATTATAATGACAGGAGCCGACGGTCAACAACTGTTGCCATGCCTTACAATCCGTCAGATGCTGATGTCATGAGTAATCCTCACACAAACCAGAGCTACGCAACAGGAATCTTCAAAAGACACCAAGGATGTCACAAGTAATAACTTATCCAGGAATAATGCCTGCTTTACCATTGATTTAAGAAGCCCGGTATGGAATGAAAGCCGCTCGAATGACAATAAGTAGGGCTTCGTACACGGGAATCCATCTAATTTGATGACGTCCACATTCCTAAAGTCTGTCATACAGCATACAGCTAGGGTGGGATGCGTGTTAAAAGCATGACTGTCATTTCACGGTACGGATCGTTTACACTGGGAACATTTCGTCTCTAAAGGCTCGAGTTTTAGGCATCAATAAAGGGCTTAATGGACAGACGATGTGGGGGAGGCCACACTGGCCGTTATCGCTGCTACATTTATCTGGTATCACTTGGGGACGGATAACGTGTATCGTCAGACAGGCAACAATTGGCAACATTGGATTTAACGTTTATCATTACTCGGAAAAGATTCAAGAATATTGAAAGGACTCGTATCTTAATAGCATTTGAAAGGACGGTATGATTCTATGTTTATGGCCTGCATTATATCAAGCCTACTCTCTAAACGATGCCTCAGCCAAGGACATGAGTAGGAGGCGTTGTCCAATTGATTAAATTCCAACATTTAAGTGGGTTGCTATCTGGATTTCTGATTCATGGGGGAAATAATTAAAACTTAAATAACGACAAATCTGGACGGGTTCTTTGTGATCTCCGCTGCTAATATTGTTTGTGGCCATGCACATGATCTTCCTGCTAGTGATGGGGTTATTTATTGAAACAATCAAAGATGGTTGTAGCATCACACGACTAAAAATATCGAACATGGCTCTCCGTAATGGAAACAAAACGAGTTTGCCCTATCACTCAAGTCTAATTCAGTTTAGCAAAACTTCAGTGTGCGTGAGACCGCTACAGGTCACTGTGTTCCAGACGTGAGGTACCCTTTTTCCTTTCTGACTCAGCATCGGAAAAAGTTATTACAGTGGATGGCAGATCCTGGTAATACTCCACGCTGTCATCACACTGGATAGTAGGCCCTGGTAATATTCCACGCTGTCATCACACTGGATAGTAGGCCCTGGTAATACTCCACGCTGTCATCACACTGGATAGTAGGCCCTGGCAATACTCCACGCTGTCATCACACTGGATAGTAGGCCCTGGTAATACTCCACGCTGTCATCACACTGGATAGTAGGCCCTGGTAATACTCCACGCTGTCATCACACTGGATAGTAGGCCCTGGTAATATTCCACGCTGTCATCACACTGGATAGTAGGCCCTGGTAATACTCCACGCTGTCATCACACTGGATAGTAGGCCCTGGTAATACATCACACCACTGGTCTGTCAGTAACTAGCAATACTCCACACTGTCATCACACTGGATAGTAGGCCCTGGTAATACTCCACGCTGTCATCACACTGGATAGTAGGCCCTGGTAATATTCCACGCTGTCATCACACTGGATAGTAGGCCCTGGTAATACTCCACGCTGTCATCACACTGGATAGTAGGCCCTGGTAATACTCCACGCTGTCATCACACTGGATAGTAGGCCCTGGCAATATTCCACGCTGTCATCACACACACACTGGATAGTAGGCCCTGGTAATACTCCACGCTGTCATCACACTGGATAGTAGGCCCTGGTAATACTCCACGCTGTCATCACACACATTCCACGCTGTCATCACACTGGATAGTAGGCCCTGGTAATACTCCACGCTGTCATCACAGCGGATGTCGCTGTCATCACACTGGATAGTAGGCCCTGGTAATACTCCACGCTGTCTCCACGCCCTGTCACGCTGTCATCACACTGGATAGTAGGCCCTGGTAATACTCCACGCTGTCATCACAATGGATAGTATGCCCTGGATAGTAGGCCCAATATTCCACGCTGTCATCACACTGGATAGTAGGCCCTGGTAATACTCCACGCTGTCATCACACTGGATAGTAGGCCCTGGTAATATTCCACGCTGTCATCACACTGGATAGTAGGCCCTGGTAATACTCCACTCTGTCATTACACTGGATAGTAGGCCCTGGTAATACTCCACGCTGTCACTTCAGTGGATAGTAGGCCCTGGTAATACTCCACGCTGTCATCACACTGGATAGTAGGCCCTGGCAATACTCCACGCTGTCATCACACTGGATAGTAGGCCCTGGTAATACTCCACGCTGTCATCACACTGGATAGTAGGCCCTGGTAATACTCCACGCTGTCATCACACTGGATAGTAGGCCCTGGTAATATTCCACGCTGTCATCACACTGGATAGTAGGCCCTGGTGATATTCCACGCTGTCATCACAGCGGATAGTGGATCTTAGTCATTCTACTCGCTGTCATCACAGCGGATAGTGGATCTTGGTAATACTTCTCGCTGTCATCACAGTGGATAGTGGATCCTGGCAATACTACACGCTGTCACTACAGTGCATCTGTAAATGACACGGGACTACAGTAAATATTTCAGTTGTAGTTCTGTGCGGCCTTCTGCTGAGCGCTGGAGTCCATCAGGTTGCCCTCAAACCCATAGTTTTTCTTTATCTTCTGGAACGTCTCATAGTCTATGTCAATACCAAAGGCTTTTGCGAATTTGTTAAACTTCTTAAACGCTGTAAAAGAACAGGTAAAATAAATTGACAACATATTTTACATTCAACACACATGATAAACCCACAATGTAGTTTCATTTAAATCAATCATTGCTGGAGATTCCTCTGATAGGTATATAGATGGTTATTCACATGATACAACTAGTTCGTACAACTTATTGAATGGAGGTGTCCCCCGCCGTGATATTGCTGGAATATTGCTAAAAGCGGCGTAAAACTAAACTCAGTCAGTCAGTTATTGAATGGAATAAGTTGTTGGAATATAGCAGCAAAGAGCTGGACGTCACGAGATCTCTGATTGCATCAGTCTATACATCACATGAAACACTGGCTGCTGAGCCAATATTTTCTAACATAATATTTTTTTAAAAGATGTGCAAAAGTAAACGTCGTGCGAGAGGCACTGGGTTTACCTCTGACTTTGCAATTTAAAGGTGATTTTCAGTACTGAATTTCCAAATTCATGGTGTAAACGTAATTGCAAAAATATCATTCTCGTGCGGGAGAAGGCAGCGCTGAAATTATATTAGATAAACAACACTCCTGAAGAATGTAGCCAACTATGATCGCCCACCGACTATTGACGACCAAACACCATGAGACGCTATCCTGTAACCTATCAGCGAACACAGGGGCTTGCAATGCTGAAAACTGCCATCAAAGGATATACTGTCACTGACGGGGTCTTAGTCCTTTTATATAGTACTAAGACCCCGCCAGTGACAATATATACTTTGATTGCAGCTTTTAGCGTTACAAGCCCCTGTGTTCGCTGATAGATTACAGGATACCCCTGTGTCAGTGAACAGAAACAGCAGAGGTAGGCCAATGATATTTTGCCAGGTACATATGGAACACGTTGCTGTAAGAGGTGAGGTGAGGTGAAATGGGGGTTTAACATCGTGCTTGAGAATATTTCGCTCATATGACCACGTGCATGCGTGTGTATGTGTATGTGCGGCTGCTTGTACTAGCCCAGACTTAAGCTGGTTTTATAGTGCTAGCCCACTGAGATACCATGCCGCAGTGAAGCATGAATATCCCACTCAGACACATTATACTGACTCCGAGCCAACCAGTCCTTGTTGTACCCATTAATGCCGAACGCCAGGCAGGGACCAACAAGTACCATATTTTAACGTCTTTTGGTATGACGCGGTCGGGGATCGAACCCGCGACCTTCCGCTCTCCGGGCGGACGCTCTAGCCACTACACCACGGAGGCGGTCGTTGCTGTAAGAACTTCAGTTCCAACAGCTGATTGCACACAAGAAGACGTACCAATTAGTTGCCCATTAACAGTTACTCTGACTTGCAGGTTCGCGCAGTTCGATGCGATGCATACAAAAAAATGCTGTACAACTAGTCATGCCGTGTGAATGTCCCTTCAGTGTTAAAATGACAATTCTCGTATTTTGAAGATTCGATCCGAAAGGACATATTCTAGACCCTCTTCAACTATTACTCTGGAAACACTACCTGGATCCTTGCCACAGCAGTAGAGGGCGAACCACTCCATACATTGGTCGCAGTTGGTGGTGCAAGCATCACAGATGAAGGGGCAGATGAGACGGCAGCAGCAGCGGCAGCAGAACAGGACCATGATCAAGAAGGAGAAGACGAAGATGAAGCGAAGGAGGACGGTCTTCCAGTTCCGTGCCATCTTCTGGAACAAGGTTTCCTCCTTGTCTTCAACCTGGAACAGAGTTAGTGAGTGAGTGGGGTTTTACGCTGCGTGTGTATCATGACGTCACAGTGACTACCTCTGGTTAAACCCCTGGAGCACAAACTAAGGTGCTGAAACACAAGGGATAATAATCAAGGGATAATCAGGGAGCTGATCCACGACCATGTGAGGCTGGTATACCTAAGGGGAGCTGATCCACGACCATGTGAAGCTGGTATACCTAAGGGGAGCTGATCCACGATCATGTGAAGCTGGTATACCTAAGGGGAGCTGATCCACGACCATGTGAAACTGTGAAAATAGTGTTAGGCATTAACGCGTTAATATGTTAAATATTTAACACCTCCGTTTATACGGAAACCTCAGGTGTTGATTTGCCAACGGCTTGATGTTAATCATATAACACAGGCGTTAATGTGTTGTAGCCTATGTACATCTTCAAGCAATGTCAATGCACAGCGATGAGTACGATAGATCTTGTTGTTAATGAAAATGTGTATCATATTAGATATTGTAATGTGGTCGAAATATTTTAAAATAACTAATCTTACCTCAAACATTTTGGTTAAATGTGCTGTACAGCTGGAAAGTTGGTCTAAAGTTATTGCCCCTCTAACTAATCTAATTGAAATAACATTGGGCTAAATGGAATAAGATGTCGTACTCCTTGTTTTACACATACACGTAATATTACTTGCATACAAGTACGACTTACGTAATATTATTAACATCAGTGTTCATTTATTTACACCAGTGTTAATATATCTCTCTTCTTTATTAACATTATAGTGTTAATCTGTCAACGCAAGCGTGCCTCGATACATTTTGGCGCCAATGAATGGTGATCGAGGCAATCGCTGCATCTCTACCGGCCTCATATTACATGATACCTAGACATTCTTTAGATATCTTCAAATGGATGTCAGCATGTTCAAAACGCAGTGATTTCAATGCGAATATCGTCTGTCAACTCGCGCGATCGTAGCCTAAAGACGTAAACGCTTTGATGAGGCAATAAGTTATTTTTAGAATGTGGCGTGCCAGTTCGCTAAAAAGTAGGGAAAAGTGGTAACCCACACACGGGATATATTAGTATCATTTTCATTATTTCCATGAAAAATAGGTATCACTTATTGAGACAGGACATTAAGTTTGTATGTAACATGACATTGTGACAAATGAACCAAGGGAGGTAACTCTACGGCAACAGTGCCGTCATCTTCAAAAGTGCCGTCAAACGTCATCTACGGGGTTTACACATTCCACTGCACGATCCTCGCCATTTTTAGAAGACTGGGCAAGCTGACGTTGTCATTATTCTCCCCAGGTAAGCGCTATGCGAAAATATAGTACACACATTGATGACATTGCAAAGATAATGTTCACATATTAATGTTTACATGTTGTATTGATGCTGGAAGTCTAAGATCATGTGTAAACAGTGAGTCATAACCTAGACTGGGCAACCACATAGTCAAATGGGTGGTGTACGTTTATCTAAAACATCTGAATCAGTGCAACTCCCAGTCAGGTAAACAAAACAATGTTATGAACTTATCCTACTTGGAACTTCAGGTGAGTATTTCAACTCAAATATTTATTGTATCATTGTAGATTTAAATCGAGTATATTGTTCACTGGGAAAATGTAATTCAATATTCTTGACAGGAACCGAGAAATTGACCTGTCTGACTTTCTGGAATTATGATCTACAAACAATAAGATGAGAGAAATAAATACATTCGAACATCATTACATTTCCATTATGGTTCTGACCTAACCTAAATGTGGTCTTCAGGTTCCCACTTACTTCCACATTAACTGACATGATACTTTCATTTTGTTTCAGCAGATCTCTCAAGCCGCAGTCTACTGTCTGCGCTGAAAACACCAGACAGGATCCCCCTTCCTGATCTTGCACCTACTACGATTGCAGCCCTTCAAGCAGGTGAAAGGAGCAGCCAGATTTTTAACTCTGTATTGAAGCAGTGTGAAACAGTTTATACAACTGTTTATCCATCAATGTCATCTTCACCATACTATTAATCAATCGTCAGGAGGATGGTGGCAAAATATCCTTCATTGGCCTATGCACATGGCAATACACTTTGGGTAAGTTTGAGTTGGCTTCAGTTTATATCTCTTTTTCAGTGATGTAGTGTCAAAGTGCATACATACTGATAGTTCACATATCCCAAGTACTCGACTTTTACCAATTTCAACATATATGGCTCTTGTATTACAGAACTTGATATTCTGTGATTCTTTTTGTTTTATCACAGAGTAATTATTTTCAGATAATGTTTTTGGTTGAACTGCATATGATTTAGAATTAGGTACTCTTCTGTTAGATTTCAGTAAGAGCTTGTGATTTAAAAGCACTCTTGTCTGAATGTTCTTTTCCTAAATAAATGCATGAGACTCAATACCCCCCAATTTGTGAATTCGTATAAAGGTAAAGTCAATATTATCTGTTTGCTATAACCAAGAAACACACTCCTTCCTTCTAATCGGAGGTTAAAAACAAACTCTCCTATTGTGTCTTTTCAGAGCCTTTTTGTGTCCAAATTGAGTCAGCGATGCCGCACCAATAGATTTCAAAATAATGCAAAATCAACACGACCTGCGCCTAAGGATTCTGAAGATGCACAACCTCAAAAGTTGTTCAAGATGGCTAATAAATCATCAGGTGTGACATCAGAGAAAGATTTTGCATCCCATCTTGATGAAATAAAGAAGGAATGGGAAGGAAAGCAATCAATTACTCATCTGCAAACTCTACTAAAACAGACAAGACAATTCCGCAAAGAGTGGCAAACCACCTTGAAGCCTGGGAAGATTGAGCCCATTTTAGAAAAGTTCCCTTGTTTTGAGGAAGGATGCTTTGTAAGTATAAATCATTTGAGCTTATTCAACAGCAAATTTTTGTTTCAAATTTAGTTTCCCTAAAGTACTACCATGGACATCTTCATGTGTCCTTAAACCCTATTTATTATATACGGACATTACAGGTGTACAAAAGTACTTGTACAGTGTTATCACATTAGTTGATTTATGGTCATTGTTGTTCTAGTGTTAATCTAATATTGAACAAGCAGGCAAGCCCTGTTGCATGTCTCTGTGCCTCTTAATCATTAAATACATTCTAACATACTGTTTCAGTTGGTGTATGAATTCTTTTGCCAACGCAGTGATGATCCAGAGGAAGCGAGGGAAGAAATTGCCAGAAATATGAAATGGATAATGCACACTGTCGTATCTAAAAAAACTGCACCTGAGGCATGTATTAATGGCTCCAGAAAACTCAAGATGTATATTTTTTTCAATTTCTTGTTACAAGTTGCTTGTCATATGGCTTATATTATTTAATATCATAATTTAATATGTTTCTATTTAGATATGGTGAACTATCAAAATACTTAACTAATTTCACTAACCCTCTGTGATACCTTAATATGTTAATTAATATTGATTTGATATGGTTATTGTTTCAAACTGGGTTAACATGTAATTGGAAATTTTTATTTCAATAATTATTGTTTCAAATTTTCAGGGTACTGATGCTGAAAAAAGCATCCAACTGTTCCGGGATTTGTAGAAGCTTGTTTCCAAGCAAAAGGGCAAGGGTTTGAAGTCAAAGACCTGCATTACCATAGTCAATGTAAGATTTTTTGAAAATGATGTTCTACTGTAAGTATTGTTACACTTGAAAACTGGTTTACTTCATTCCTGAAGTAAGTGCTTATGATCAGCTTTATGACAAATGGAAATGCATTAGACTGCAAGGACAGGTGATACCTTTATGATAAAGATATATTTAAGATATTTTTATTTGCAAATAGCAGTATAGTTAAGAATAGATGTTTCATTTACTTAATGCTGTTGTGAGATCAACTTGTAAACTGACAATATTCAGCCGTAACAAAATGTTATTTTATGTTAACAGGATGTGAAGAGTGTGGAAACAGTTCCTCAAAACATCTGCACAGCCAAGTGGAAGAGGCTCCTCATCTTGTGGTCTTCCTTGACAGCTCAAAACACATCCTATGCCCATTGTGGAAGGCTCCTCATCTTGTGGTCTTTCTCCTCAAAACACATGGCCAGCTCAAAACACATCCTATGCCAGTACATTGTGGAAGAGGCTCCTCATCTTGTGGTCTTCCTTGACAGCTCAAAACACATCCTATGCCAGTACATTGTGGAAGAGGCTCCTCATCTTGTGGTCTTCCTTGACAGCTCAAAACACATCCTATGCCAGTACATTGTGGAAGAGGCTCCTCATCTTGTGGTCTTCCTTGACAGCTCAAAACACATCCTATGCCAGTACATTGTGGAAGAGGCTCCTCATCTTGTGGTCTTCCTTGACAGCTCAAAACACATCCTATGCCAATTCATTGTAGGAGACAATGTAAAGATTTTCTTCAAACACAGTCATTGTTTGATGCAGTGATCAGTCTCCTTGGGAGTTACTATGTTTTTGATTTGGAGTACCCCCCTGCATATTGCCAGGTTCTTGGTCTGCTACAGCACTGGGTTGTATCTGACATATTTACTGGATCAAGGACATCCAATTGGATAAAGTTCAGTGATGAACTGACAAGATCCAAAGATAAACACTGAGATATTAGAATGTTTCCCAATCAAGCTTTGAACTTTCAAAAAATCTTTTTGGTAGTAATGCAGCAATGTATACCATTCTTTTATCCAGTGGCATGATATTTCTCTAATAATATGTTAAAACAAAAGGTAAAAAGTCAGTTATACCAGGGAACATCCCAAAGGAGACCTTTGTGAAAGGAAACAGACTGATTCTTCCTTTAGTTTTCATTACAATGATGTTGTCTATTTCAAATTTATGCAAACTGCTGATATTCTAAAGAGAAAGATTATTATACAAATTATGAAAGCCAAACTTTTTCAAAGACCATTCATAGTACCTATTGTTCATTCTGTTAAGGCAGACAGAAGTGTTCTTCCTGTTCAAAAGAATTGAATTTCATTTATTGTGCCAAATTGAACTAAACTTCGACCACATCGTCTGTTCTCAATAAACATTATCTTGAACATTAGCCATTGTGACATGATGATCAAATATATAATGATCTTATATATACCCCATAGGGAGTTGTTTTAAGTTTAATCCATTATATTACCCTGCAATCAAAAAGTAAACTTTCGTTCACTCAAGACAAGATTACAATTGTCTGATTTGAACTCTCTCTCGCACACTTCAGGAATTTCTGAATTTCGCTCACCTAAGATTAGGAGATGTCCTCCATAATCCCTCATTGTCTAAGGAATAGCACGCTTCATTGCTTTGCCTACCTTAGACAATACCTGATAATTCAGGGAAGTACTTTGCCTATGACAGAGTACAGATTATCCTATTGTTGTGCCAACACATATATTTGGTACTCATTTTTTTTATTTCTTCACCAAGGTGATTTTGATAACCATCATTAGTGGACCATTAGTTTAGTGATATTATTGTTTGAATGTAGAGGTATGTTGCTTCTATTGTTTACTTTTATACCTGTTTAATGCATAGGATAGTCAAAAACCTCTAAAATTTATTTTTGACATTTTCTTTTCTTTTCATAAGTGGGGGAAAATACTGTTATTTTGATACTATTCTAAAAATGCAGTTTTGAAGAATTACTAATGATCTGCCTGGGAACATGTGTCCTGATATGACCATGAAGTTTGAACTTTTTTATGCTCTAATGCTCAAATGGAGAAAGAGAATAGTTTAATTTCAAGCTTTATCAGCGTTTAAAACTCAATTTTATTTGGCACTGTCTACCTTGTAATGTATAACGATGGCTTTAAACAAAGCAGTAGTTTCACTAGTCCTTGGGCTACCTGTATTATTTGACAATTTGGACTGCGCTATAGGACTAGTGCCAATTTTGATCCTATATTCTCAAAAAATGAAAGCACCATAGTATATTTCTGAAGGTGATGCCTACACTGTGCAGCTACTTTAGGTTACAAATAGCAATATTGTTTATATGTGTTGTCAGTGTTGCCCTTATATTGTTCATTGTCTGATAGTTGCAATATGTATTGCAATGTATCAGTTCTTTTCATTAATTAATGTATATATGCATACCATTTTGATATGGTCCCAGCCGTGGAAGGAATGATTATCCTCAAAATACATGCCATTATCCATGTTCTGTTAAAATTCAGTCAAGCGTTCACCATTCTGTTCCTCAAGACTAAAGGATTAACAGTATTACCGGGTTATTTTTGCATGTGCCCTAAATAAATATGCAGTATTGTGAAGGATTCTGTGGACTCCTCGTATCTGCCTATGTGCATTGAATGTAACAGTTTGCTCAATTTTTATGAGGATTTGATTTTTTATCCGATGAATAAATTCAAATGAAATTGTGATTGCTGCTTTAATTTATTTGGTTGATTACTATTAGTTGTATTATATCGAACCCTGAAACTGTACTAAGTCCTTTTTGCTTTCATATTGATTACACCATAATGAATGTGAAGATAAATCTTTTGTCACCATGTCTTTTTTCATTTGGGAAATTATCACATTCAGTGTAATATCAAGGAGATTAATCAAGTTTCAGGGTTTTCAACAATAGCGGAACTGCATGTCACAATATCTGAAGACAACAGGAATTATTCTAGAGTTAACCATTGATGAAAGTTAATACTTGGATATACATTTCAGCCCACTTGGATGTACATTTCAGCCCAACTTTCTCAAAGAAGTAATGTGTGGATCACATTTCTTTGTTACTTTACAATTGTGTTAAATTATTAACACTTACATCCTTATAAACATGTTAATGTGTGAAAAAAGTGTTACCAGCAAGCGTTATCAAATAAACATGTTAATGTGTTAATCTTGTAAACACTTTAACATGTTATTAAATTAACACTAGTGTTAAACAGTATTAACACTTTAACATGTTAATTTACTGTTACCAAGATAGTGTTAATAATAGTGTTAATTCAGTAACACTTGTTTTACAGTGCATGTGAAGCTGGTATACCTAAGGGGAGCTGATCCACGACCATGTACCTTAGGGGAGCTGATCCACGACCATGAAGCTGTATACCTAAAGGGAGCTGATCCACGACCATGTGAAGCTGGTATACCTATACCTAAGGGGGGGAGCTGATCCACGATCTGGTGTGAAGCTGGTATACCTGAAAGGGGAGCTGATCCACGACCATGTGAAGCTGGTATACCTAAGGGGAGCTGATCCACGATCATGTGAAGCTGGTATACCTAAGGGGAGCTGATCCACGACCATGTGAAGCTGGTATACCTAAGGGGAGCTGATCCACGATCATGTGAAGCTGGTATACCTAAGGGGAGCTGATCCACGATCATGTGAAGCCGGTATACCTAAGGGGAGCTGATCCACGATCATGTGAAGCCGGTATACCTAAGGGGAGCTGATCCACGATCATGTGAAGCCGGTATACCTAAGGGGAGCTGCTCTGCATGACGAACTGCGGTGTCTGTGATTATGGGTTCCAATCCCAACCATGTCCTGCTTCTGTCGCAAGTTTTAGATTTCACCAATTTAAGTTATATCACCTGCATCACTTCTGGCTTCCCACATTAAGCAGAACCGCCGTGATATAACGGAAATACTTTTCGGACTGCTTTAGTCAGTGGATATTGATTAGCAATATTAGCAAAAGCTGGGCAAGACCTGTGTTTACAACATCAGTGAGCTGTTGATCACCTCCTAACACATTAGAAGCAGGGCAATTATCAAACGTAGCATATATGTCAGTCTAAGTAAACTTAGGCTCAGTATTATTCGTTACACTGCTATACTGAGTCTAACAAAACCTAGTAGGCCGTCTCGCGTTTGATTGGACGGTCATAGGTCGCTCAAAGGTTAGCTCACGCGACCTTCTACTAGGTTTAGTTAGACTCAGTATAGCAGTGTAACGAATAGTACTGAGCCTAAGTTTACTTAGACTGCATATATGTGAAAACATGACGTATTAGATTCATAATCAGTTTATCTCCGGCATATCTTTTGAAAAATGAAGGGGTAGGATGAACTTATAAATAAGTAATTAAAACAAAAGTATCATTTATATTTTGTATCTCCTGATCGGTAACATTAACCACTATCGCCAAATCAGATGTATCTTGTCAGCATTTGTTAGTCGGGCTCGCCGTAGGGTTGATTGCGTGTCGTCGTATTCTCACGACGTAAGACAATACTCATTATATCAATCACTGGTTGGTGCATGTTACAGGTTCCAATATATAAACTGGAAACACTGATGAAACCTGGGTGTAGGGTCAGCCATAACGCTATGTGTGGACACTAGTCAGCACTGGGCTGAGAGGGCCTGGGAAGTCGGAAAGTCCGCAAATACGATTACTTCAGTTGCATTAGAAGAGTCAGTGAATTCAGAAACATTTTTGTATGATTCAAAGAGTGGGGTTATCATTAGGCATAATTGATATGCAAGAGTTGATGGCTTTAATAGCTCCAGCCTCTCTCTCTCTGAAACTTCCGTCCGTCTGTCACCAGCTATTACTTGGCATTCATGAATATTTTCGAAGCGCATTGCAGTTCATCAACGACGTACAAGAAGGAAAAAACAAACTGCCATTAGGCCAACCTTTCATTATCATCGCCAGCGTTAGCAAAATGGAAAATATTCAGATGGGATTGAGATGGGACTGAAGATGCAGTAGCGGTCGCAGCTTTGCAGTTGTTTACGTGGCATACAGTGATGGACATACCTGAGAGAGGGTGGGGTGGGGTGGGGAGAGAGCGCAAGATATAAAGGAGAGAGAGAAAGAGACAGTCATAGAGATGGAGAGGGGGAGAGGGAGGGAGAGAGAGAGGGAGGGAGGGAGAGGGTGAGTGAGATACTGTTTACAAGTGCAAGTGCCCTGATTGACATCCGCTTATCAGTTTGAAATGTCCATGTCATTCAGAGCAATGAATACAACTAACATAACACGGCATCCGGCATACCATAAAGGATTTGGCATCTTCCACAATTTGACACACGCTATCGGAGGCCCAGGTTAAGTTCTGAAAACATGTCTGTATTAAGAATAATAAACACAAAGATATTTTTCACGTTTGACGAAAAATGGATCTCATCACATCAAAGGCATGCACTTTCTTTATAGTATTTATTGACCGGGGACCATGTGTCTTTGAAGTACTGTGTTCAAATACGTCATACTGATAAGGTCGCTTCACTGAACATGTACATGTCTGAAACCTTTATGCGAGACAACACGGGATGTTCTGCGTCACTTGAATTTTACCTCATAGTCCAACATTTTCTTGTCAGTATCCCAGTCGTAATTGTCTTCATAGTCGAACCGCTTCCTGATCCGTCTACTGCCTCGCGCTTCATGACGGCGTTGCCGCTCGTCACCAGATGACGTGAGCCGTTCTTGTGACCTCAACGTCGACGCCTCCACACGTGCTGCCACTGAAACCAAACATGAATACGGTAAACATACAGATGGTAAGGATTGGGGAGAGGGTAGACTAAAGCGGCCTTCACACGGCAAACTAAAGTTTGCCATCACATTTTATAAGTTTTAAAAGTTGACAAATTGGCGTTTTCACGCGTCACACACCTGTTGCCGATGCGATTTTGTAGGTCGAGTTGACCAGACGACCAAAACATCACGTGACAATTTCGTTGACTTCGATTGGTTGTTTCTGAACAACACGACCCGATCAAACTCGAGTTTGACAACACCGAAAGTTTGATGGAAATTCAAAAGTTGGTGAAAATGGAGACCGACAACAGTTTGACAACTCTGAAATTGGTGTTGGTGGTGTGTTGTTGAACAGAATGTTCATACTCTCAAACTCGAGTTTGACAACATGTGATGTCAAACTTTAGTTTGCCGTGTGAAGACCGCTTTAGTCTCTGAATATATATTGTTTGCCGTATGAAGACCGCTTTAGTCTCTGAATATATATTGTTTGCCGTGTGAAGACCGCTTTAGTCTCTGAATATATATAATTTTAAAAGAAACAATTTTTTATTAATTGAAAAGGAGCCCCAGCGAGAAGGGGAATTCAGAACCTGAGAAAATCTAGACTTACTGCATTTAGGGCTTTAACTTTGCAGACAGGGCTAGGCAGTAGGGAAAGTAAAGCGGCCCAAGGACAGTGAGACAGACAAGGGTGGGGGTGGTTGGAGACCCAGGTCCTGCTATACAGTCTTGACTGTTCCAACCAATAGTCAGTAGCATAGATAGCACATATCCAGGCGTAATGCTGATTGCGTCGACAAACAATCAGCCAGGTGACAGGTCTCCATTATTCTCTCGACAGTGGTAAGGTGCTCGAGATCTAAATATCACCAGTAATCCGCGCGTGAGTTAAGGTGGTCTTAGAATATAAAGTCTAACCATCAGCCAATGTCCAGGAAGCACGTGACCGGACACATTGCGTCACGCGGTTGGGTGTACAGAGCACATGCCTACATACATAAATGAACTGGCTTTATAACGCGTAACACATACATTTTACATACCAATCCGCCATTGCATTTGGCGTGTGTCACTAACAGATTTAACTTCACTGAGCGTTTGCGAGACACAAAGAAGCTGCCGTAAAATACCCCGCGGTTAAATATGAGTTATCTTGTGAAAAATGTAAGGTTTGTTTGTTTGATTCGTCTACCTACATCATGATATCCGACATCGTTAATTTGTAGTTAAGTTCAGATTACACTCTAAAGCTGTGATCTAATTGTGTCCATTGCACGAGTCCATGCGTTCTTCTACAGAATACGAAATGAGCATCTTCGATAACGGACTGCAGGTATTCCAATGCTGGACGCCTGTTATCTGCTGTATCATATCTTAAATGAAAGTTGAATTTTTGGGAATCGTTTACACATATCCTCACTCTTGGGCAACAATAATAATGATAATATGATTGTTTATATGGGTACCTCGCCATGTGCATCGGCAAATATTCAGTTGATGTAAACTGCATTGGTCTTTGACCTAATAAACATCTTGTCTTGTCTTGCTGCAGAACCCGTATGCTCCGCCTTGGAGAGAAGTCCATGCACGTAAGAAGAGATCATGTGTTGAATATGGAACGATGAATTTAAATTCGCCCTCCAGTTGGTGTTTCGGATTAATTATGTTTTTAGAAGAGTGATTTTATTTCAAACAGAAAACGTGCCTTTGAAATGTTATATTTTGTGCTTTATGAATACTACACAGTTTAACATAATTGTTTGAAAACATATAGCCTAACAAGAAGCATTAAGAAGTACCGACCATTGGCAATACATGGATGACTTGCTCGCATTACAAGGTGTCTACGACTCTACGTGCCTCAGAACACCGGTATTCTGCAGTGCAAAGTAATTGTTCATGCAGGTTCTGTATATAGGGACTGATAAACGACTTAAATCACGCCATGTTTGTTACAGAAGGGAAATTGTACACAGATTACGTCTACAGAGACTCAATGTATACAGGAAGCACGCTAATCAATATATAGCAGGCTGTTTGAAAATCATATAAATCCAAATTTAGATGCATAATTCAACAAAACGTTGTATTATTTCTGTATTTATCCAAGAATTAGTGACCAAAAAAGTTCCACATCGGCTTTAAATACATCCTGAACATTATGTTCATTTAACTCAAGTTAAACCCTGAGCTCACCTATTAGGAGAAATGTGAAAGTGACGATGCCGTAGAACATCAAGGATGGCGTTCTCCATTACTTCATGACTGTTGCTGCATGACGTCATCGGTTGCTGTAAGACGTCACAACTAATATGACGTCATGATGTAGAGGCTTATCACGTGATTGCTACATTTCATTTCGTATCGATCTCACTCCAGAAAATCTATCGAAATTGGGGCTGAAAATGATCCATATCTTCACTATGTACAGTTAGCTGATCCGTGACACTTGATGGTGTTACATTCGTTGTACCCTGTCGGGTTCTCGGCGCGACAACATAAAACCGACTCGCATAACAGAGCCGTATTATACAAGACGAGTGACGGCCAGGAACGGCCTGTGCAAAGCGATTGGTACAACACAAGGTTCTTGAAAAATTCTCAAAACGTTTCCACCTCTCATAATCCGTTTTTGTTTATTTCATAGTGAGATACTTTAGACACCGCGTAATGTCCTTATGGTCAGTGTATTTTTAGGGTCAGAACGGGGTTATTATACTGAATCATTTTTTCATTATTCACTATAGATTTGTGGACAATATCTACGATATAGAGAATACTACACTCGGTCTCATTACATACGAATTATACGAAACGAGTGTCCTTCCTAAGGTATCTGACCCACACTCCGGCACAGCGATGACTTAACATAACATCACTGCCACAGGCTAATTTGCATATCACGTGACCGGACTTTTCTCTTGTTTGTAATCAAACGCGCATATTCATAATAAGAAGGGACTGGACTCACGAACGCTTTTCGGCGCTCTCTTCATAATGTTTTACATTGTTACATATATATTCTTCCACAACTGCGACAGTTAGGTCTATGACAGTACATATTTAGATATCAAACTGGCTGCATCGTTTGCTCTCCGTCGGCTTCGATGACAGCACGTGGAGCCGTACAACCTATGTAAACAAAGGATCGCTACGCAAATCGAAATAGTGTTACATGTTTAAGGATATTTTCTCAGTGAAACTAAACCATTCTATCAAAGATGTTTAATTAGATGTTTAGACTCGTCAAAAATAAAAGAGTTAAGAAATATGTACATTATATTGAATGGACGGTTCAAGATGTGACGAATCGTCACATTTTTCTTGCCTGTGGCAGAGGTACTATGCTGGCTGGCCGCATGGAACTCTGGGTAGGAGATTGGTATCTGACCGAGCGAAAGCGAGGTCAGATATCATAGGAAGGTCACGAGTTTCGTATAATTCGTATGCAATGAGACCGAGTGTGGTATTTTATTTATTACCCACGTCTTACATGCATTAAACTGACAAAATAGCGTATTTTTGTTGTTTTTGGTTTCAAACCGAAACCGGTTTCATAAAGAGGTTGCGGAAGAGTTTTGTACTGTAGTACAATATGTGCATGACGTCACACTGTAATGACGTCACCGCCTTGGTAACCGACGTCACGATGCATGTCAGTTGTCATCGCTTCGTACAGCCTCCTACAGTAAACTACTCCGTAGCACCTCGTTTCTTGGTTTCCAGTTGCTTCAATCGGCTAATATCACTGGTGGAAACATTGCGTTTATGTTTTTCGATGGATATAATGTCTCAGTTCGATTCACAATTAAACAGCGACACGGCAACGTTTGCAATGTTTACATTCCCACAATGCATTTAAGTTGTAGAATGAATGAATTCACGTGTTTGTTATGAATGAAAAAATAGTTACGTCAGAATGTGACCTAAGTGAGAGGTCATCGGTTATCCAATCAAATCGTTAGAATCTCAGGTCAACGCGATACGACACCCGTGTGACGTACGAGATTAGTATGCAACTACCCATACCTTGACCTCGTGGGTAATAAAGATAGATACTATGCACAGAACAGAGAATCCATCTCAATCCTTCCACGAAATGGAGTGCTATATGTATACTTAAAGAGACAGCGAGTGATGCCGTCGCTATGCCGTCGTATAACACTGCACATGGCATCTCATAACAAATTACTTGAAAGAAACTGATCTGTATCATATTAACTGTAAATGTGTATATATGTGTATATATGTGTATATATGTGTATAGCTAGTTGCTTGTTCTTAAATCTGGTCACCCATGTTTTAAATTGTATATAATATTGTTAGAATGCGTGTTTTAAATTGTATATAATATTGTTAGAATGCGTGTTTTAAATTGTATATAATATTGTTAGAATGCGTGTTTTAAATTGTATATAATATTGTTAGAATGCGTGTTTTAAATTGTATATAATATTGTTAGAATGCGTGTTTTAAATTGTATATAATATTGTTAGAATGCGTGTTTTAAATTGTATATAATATTGTTAGAATGCGTGTTTTAAATTGTATAGAATATTGTTAGAATTCGTGTTTTAAATTGTAAAATATATTGTTTGTATGCGTGTTTTAAATTGTAAAATATATTGTTATAGCCCTTTGTGGTCTAAATTGTAACAACTGTTGAAATGCAAAATATGTATGAAAATAGCTTTCAGGCGTGACTTTGTGTTTGAAATGGGTTTCTGTACATATGTGTGAACTTGATCTCGTCGCTCTCTGCGACAAAAGAAAATTTATTCACATATTCACTCACTCACTCACTCACCCACGCGTCTGTAAATCACGGGGCAATCCCCTACAGCCATAGCACAATGCGGAATTACGACATACACTGGTTTTACGATAACGTAAAAGGGGGAATTCCTAAGAAGTAGACCTTGTGCTGTTGTATTTAAGCTGTGTTGTTTCGAAGGGATTAATCGTTAACACTCGTTATTCAGAAAATTTGAACTGTGATGGGAAAGCTCATTCGGTCAGACTGAGGAACTTAATCAAAAGTGATCTCTCGCTAAGATTACACACCATAACTTAAGCTTACAGGTTTTAGTGGTTGTATTGTAACTGTCATGTAATACAATATAGACACATGTTTTTTCTTAAATAATAATGAATGTGGTGAGATTTGACCGCCTGGGGCCTAAGGTGTCCACAGCACTTGATCCTATGTTGACCTGGTATGTTGACCCTCTTCGATGAAGAAGTATCTAGCCTTAGAGATGGACAGACAGTTGGTCCGTAGTCGAAGCTATCCCAGAGTTCCATCCAGAGACCAACCAGCTTCACAGAGTCAGAAGATCAACCCAATCCTGCGAGCAGACGAGACACGTTATCCCTCCAGATTACAAGACAACAGAGTCGTAGACCAGTTCCTAATGATCAACGACGGAGACAACCTGATCCTCAGACTTACTACAACTACAATTCACGGCAACTGTGTTCCGTGGACGTCATCTACGAGTCTGCAGATAGACAACAGAGCCAAACCCAGAAAACTCCAGATTTGGCATACGGTGTCTAGTGTTATAATCATTCATTCTCTTGCCTGACGTAAGTGTTTTGTAACTAGAGTTTGTATAATCTATATCAAATCATGTTATTCCAATATAAACAAGTTCATCATAATCAATTAATTAATTATACAATTCGGAATTAAGGCAGAGGAAGGGTGGATCCAACAGTCCCAGACATGCTCCAAGAAACCCCTCACTCCATGTCTTCAGTCTGCCGACTATGTGTCTCCTTCCTAAAGGAGGAGGTCATCTGTTGTCCAGCGGGCACCAGAGGAGTTACCATCTATTTAGGTTGCAAACGGGGCTGGCCATTCTCATAAACCTGATTAGAGTAAAGCTTAGTCCCTGAATATATCTAGACTTTCTTCATTTAGGGCTTAGGCATTCCAGGGAGGGCAAGGCAGTAGGGGAAATAATGTGGTTCAGGGACTGTGAGACAGACTAGTACCTGATATATGTTGCGCATTTGTGTTTGTGTTGTGTTCTATGTTTCCCATCAAATATATGGAATGAACGTTTGGCTTATATTAAATTATAGATCGGTACATGTTAATTTTGTGTAATAAACCCGTGAAGATCCGGGTTAGAATTGGTCTTCAGCAAACGATGCTCTTCTTATGCATGATACTAACGGGATCGGTTGGTCATGCTCACGGATTTGATTGACACATGTCATCGTATCCCAATTACGTAGATCGCTGCTCATACTGTTGATCACTGGATTGGCTGTTCCAGACTCGATTATTTACAGACTGCCGCCATAAAGCTGAAATATTGTAGACACCCTTTGAAATTAAATTTTGGGTAATTTTCCTCAATTTGACGACTTCGGTAATAAACAGAATATTATATATGTGGAGCACGGTGGTGTAGTGGTTAGCATGCTGGCCTCTCACGCCAAAGGCCCGGGTTCGAATCCCGGTGGAGACAAAAATTTGTGACCTGGGTCTCATACTGTGTTGTGTCCCTGGGCAAGGCACTTCGTCAACATTGCACTCAGTCCACCCAGCTGTTTAAAATGGGTACCTGAAAAGCGGATGTACGGACCTATACGGTCGCGCTTAGCGCTTAGTAGCAGCTTTGAAAGTACAATTCCGTCAGGGTAATAATGTAACGCCAGAGAACAGCATCGCGTTGGATTCTAGGCGCAAAAATTAGCATTATTATTATTATTCGTGCCCATATCATACTATGTTTACGACACTCGTACTTTAACTATAATAGTTCAGGGCGAAAGTGTGTTTTATTACACTATACATGGTGGTAGAGCGAACTGTATTTCTTAATTAACGTTACCAATGTGCTTTATTATTCACCTCTGTTTTGCCTCCATTCGGTATAGGACTAATTGGGACGAATAATAACCTATAGATATAATTGACCTATAGATATAATCAGTTCGATTGGTATTTTCTGTTCTTACACCTACTCTGTCGGTACTTTCTAAATCTGCCCACAAACGACATTGTACATAAAGTGCCGACGCTGTTATACCACATCTGTTTGTTTTCAATTTAAAATTAACTTCATGCTTTGAGATGCTACAAGTCTTTCCCACTTCCTGGTAAACAACAAGAACTGCAGCTGACATAGCACAACCCGAGCTTTTAGCGTATTCTATAAAGGGAAACACAATTATCGTCACATTATATTTTCTTCTTCTTTTACAAGAGAAATATATTCTATTTTTATTTTTGTTATGAGATGTTGCGGTTTCCTCAAGAAAGAC